ATGGCAAGAAAATCATTATGAAATTTGGCACGTACCTAGGACAACTAAAATAGTGTAATCTTGTGAGATATCATGTGGGATCTCAAGCCTGTTTCACTTCAAGCCAACAACTTCCACAACCAATAGGAAAATATGCATTTGTGAAACGAACAATAAAGTAAGAACATTGTCAAAAATAATTAACAATTATTTATAGTACAATAGTAAACTGAAACATTGTTTAGCGAAAGTGAACCTACTTATAAACAACTAAACATAACTATTAACAAAGATTGTCTTTAAAGAAGAGGGCATTTTTGCTAGTTTATAATTATCATGTGTGCAACATCTCATGAAGATAACAAGCTAACCCTACATAGCCCTCTACTCTTTAGCTTTGGCTTTGGAGCAATTAGTGGAATAGATAATCATGCATAATATTTTCTGTTAAAGATTGGAAAGTATTCCTCATGCTTACTGCTAAGCTATTTTCTAAAAGGCAGACTATAAGAATAACATGCAATTGGCAAGCCTAGGACAAATTGTTGAGGTTAAGTTTTCCAAGAAAGTATAAGATTACAAAGTGTGTTTTAATCTTTACTAAGGACTATTAGATTCAGTTGATTAACAGACACTCAACCAAATTTTTTGTCTTTGACTGGAATTCTAGGAGTTATTTAAAAAATTAATATCCATCTAAAGCCTAAATGAAAAAAAAGATGAAACTGAAAAATCATTTGGCATTTAAGAGAAAAATAATTGCAACCATTATCTATTTGTTCTGTACAAAAAATCTAAAAGAAAAAAATATTAATCAAAATTCAAAAGTAATATCTAATAAAAGAATCGAACAAAACATAAAAATCTAGGTAGCTTATTATCAAGAAACCAGAGGAATCCGCAAACATGAAAAAGCTTCAAAAATGCTACTTACAGAAGAAATGTAATAGAAATATTACTTTTTACAGGATTAAACACCTAAAAAAATGGCAAGTGTGACATCCTTTTATTTTATTATTACTATTTGACATTTTCGTAATTTTATTAAAGTTATAGGGGTATTTTTGTAACTTGGAACGGGCTGTTCCAAAAGTGGAACGGGCCGTTCCAAGCAACAAAAATAAGCTAATTTTTTAAGTTGGGAACGGGCCTAGAACGGGCCGTTCCGGAAGGAGAACGGGCCGTTCCAGAGGGAGAAAGGGCCGTTCTGCTGAGTTTGAGAACGGGCCGTTCTGATTTTAGAACGGGTCGTTCTGCTTTTTGGGAACGGGCCGTTCCAGTTGAAAAATTTGCACAGATTCAAAGGATCCGAAACGGGCCGTTCCGAATTCAATACGGCCGTTCCGGGTACCCCAGGTTGCCTATAAATAGAAGGCATAGGGGGGTGAAAAATTATAACTAAGAAGGGTGAAAAATTTTAGAGAGAGAGAGAGAAAGAGAGAGAGAAAGAGAAGAGGAGGTTCTGTCCAAGTTCATATTTATCCAGGTACGGGAGAAAAGGGGATCATTTATATGTAGAGTACATGAGGGAATTGGTTAGAGGAAGAATTCCTTAAGATTATGATTAATTTTACAATTATTTAATTTGGAGAATTATTGGTTCTATTAAAATTATCTGTGTTGAGGTTTATAAATATGCCTAAGTGTAGGAATGATGATCTGGGAAGAAGAATGAATTGTAAAGAAAATGCGATGAGCTAGATTTTGGAATAATTAGGGGTTTTACTATTTATACTAATTATTCTATTGATTATTATATTAATGAAAGTTATTGCTATATTACTTTTTAAGAATGAATGTTGTTGATGTGAATTGCTTGAGGGGTATGTAAACCTTATTTTGTTGAGCTTATCTGTTATGTATGTGATATGGAATTGCGTACGTGATATGAATTTGAGTTATGAGATGAGATGTTGTATGAATGCGATTTTGATTTTGATTGTGGTGCCTCACATCGATGACTAGGGATGACACGACCCCTGAGTAAGTGGTGCTACAGGGAGGGCGTGACCCTAGCATGGTGTGGGATGAGTAAGACAATTAACACACACCACTTATGTCGTTTATGGTAGCCCTGGCATAAGGTTAATTACAAGAGATTGTATTGATTGTAATGTGATTGTGTTTCCTCACACCAAATGACTAGGGATGGCACGGCCCCTGGGTAAGTGATACTACAGGGAGGGCGTGACCCTGGTCTGGTGTGGGTTGAGTGAGGCAATTAACCTGTATCACTTGTGTCAGATGTTGCGAGGTCTTGGCATAGTGTTAATTGTGATATTGGCATGAATTATAGATGTTGAAATAATTGTCATATTGATGTGAATGAGAAAAGGTAAAAATGATAATGTTAATTATAAAATCTAAATGGATTGTGATGGATTGATAAATTATGGTACATGCTCGTAAATATTTTATTAAATAAAGAAATATGATGAGATTTTAATATGGTGTGTTTGGATGTACATTACATATAGATATCTTCTTTTCTCACCGTATAAATTGTGGATATTTTAGGTGGAGAGGATCCAGCTGCAAGTGACATATAAGATGCCAACAGTCTTATTTTGGAAAATGCTATGATATTGTGACATCGGGACAGATGATTTTTAGGACGAAATATTTATGTGAATTTGGTACTGTAATATTATTTTAAAAAAATTTGTAAAAACTCTTGTGTTTTATGTTTGATATTTCTATTAATGTGGAAAATAATTGCAACCATTATCTATTTGTTCTGTACAAAAAATCTAAAAGAAAAAAATATTAATCAAAATTCAAAAGTAATATCTAATAAAAGAATCGAACAAAACATAAAAATCTAGGTAGCTTATTATCAAGAAACCAGAGGAATCCGCAAACATGAAAAAGCTTCAAAAATGCTACTTACAGAAGAAATGTAATAGAAATATTACTTTTTACAGGATTAAACACCTAAAAAAATGGCAAGTGTGACATCCTTTTATTTTATTATTACTATTTGACATTTTCGTAATTTTATTAAAGTTATAGGGGTATTTTTGTAACTTGGAACGGGCTGTTCCAAAAGTGGAACGGGCCGTTCCAAGCAACTAAAATAAGCTAATTTTTTAAGTTGGGAACGGGCCTAGAACGGGCCGTTCCGGAAGGAGAACGGGCCGTTCCAGAGGGAGAAAGGGCCGTTCTGCTGAGTTTGAGAACGGGCCGTTCTGATTTTAGAACGGGTCGTTCTGCTTTTTGGGAACGGGCCGTTCCAGTTGAAAAATTTGCACAGATTCAAAGGATCCGAAACGGGCCGTTCCGAATTCAATACGGCCGTTCCGGGTACCCCAGGTTGCCTATAAATAGAAGGCATAGGGGGGTGAAAAATTATAACTAAGAAGGGTGAAAAATTTTAGAGAGAGAGAGAGAAAGAGAGAGAGAAAGAGAAGAGGAGGTTCTGTCCAAGTTCATATTTATCCAGGTACGGGAGAAAAGGGGATCATTTATATGTAGAGTACATGAGGGAATTGGTTAGAGGAAGAATTCCTTAAGATTATGATTAATTTTACAATTATTTAATTTGGAGAATTATTGGTTCTATTAAAATTATCTGTGTTGAGGTTTATAAATATGCCTAAGTGTAGGAATGATGATCTGGGAAGAAGAATGAATTGTAAAGAAAATGCGATGAGCTAGATTTTGGAATAATTAGGGGTTTTACTATTTATACTAATTATTCTATTGATTATTATATTAATGAAAGTTATTGCTATATTACTTTTTAAGAATGAATGTTGTTGATGTGAATTGCTTGAGGGGTATGTAAACCTTATTTTGTTGAGCTTATCTGTTATGTATGTGATATGGAATTGCGTACGTGATATGAATTTGAGTTATGAGATGAGATGTTGTATGAATGCGATTTTGATTTTGATTGTGGTGCCTCACATCGATGACTAGGGATGACACGACCCCTGAGTAAGTGGTGCTACAGGGAGGGCGTGACCCTAGCATGGTGTGGGATGAGTAAGACAATTAACACACACCACTTATGTCGTTTATGGTAGCCCTGGCATAAGGTTAATTACAAGAGATTGTATTGATTGTAATGTGATTGTGTTTCCTCACACCAAATGACTAGGGATGGCACGGCCCCTGGGTAAGTGATACTACAGGGAGGGCGTGACCCTGGTCTGGTGTGGGTTGAGTGAGGCAATTAACCTGTATCACTTGTGTCAGATGTTGCGAGGTCTTGGCATAGTGTTAATTGTGATATTGGCATGAATTATAGATGTTGAAATAATTGTCATATTGATGTGAATGAGAAAAGGTAAAAATGATAATGTTAATTATAAAATCTAAATGGATTGTGATGGATTGATAAATTATGGTACATGCTCGTAAATATTTTATTAAATAAAGAAATATGATGAGATTTTAATATGGTGTGTTTGGATGTACATTACATATAGATATCTTCTTTTCTCACCGTATAAATTGTGGATATTTTAGGTGGAGAGGATCCAGCTGCAAGTGACATATAAGATGCCAACAGTCTTATTTTGGAAAATGCTATGATATTGTGACATCGGGACAGATGATTTTTAGGACGAAATATTTATGTGAATTTGGTACTGTAATATTATTTTAAAAAAATTTGTAAAAACTCTTGTGTTTTATGTTTGATATTTCTATTAATGTGGTTGTCGAAGTTTCTCATGTGAACCCTTTTACTGTAATTGAAAGATTTATTACAATATATGTGTTGGAGTAGTAAAAGTGTCACAGCAAGTCCAAACTCTTTTGACAAATATTCATGGGTCTATTTGTAGCAAAAATAAATAGACAATTGATAAAGTCCAGAGCTCTTGAAAGCTTCAGCTATAAAGTAAATACACTGTAATAATTTTATATCTTTGAGACGAAATATCACAGGCCCCTCATGCAAGCTTTATTTAGGAACAACCTTTACTTGATGAAATTTAATTTAATTATGAATAATTGGGCATGTTAATGGATTTACATCTCTAAAGCAACAGAAATTACAGATAATGTTAACATCAATAATCAGTATGAACTGACTTGGCCATATACTTGGCCTTCTCAGCTTCCTCCCATGCTACTGCACGTGCTTCAATGACACTCTTAGTGGTTCTGCTTTTGTTTTCAAGGAAGTGGGTTAAAGGAATTATATGTGAGAGATAAAAGGAGTAAGAG